GTGGGCGCTTTGGTTCCAGAGGGGGACCAGGAGGAGGGTTCAGGCCCTTCGTGCCACATATCCCATTCGATTTCTATTTGTGTGAAATGGCCTTCCCTCGAGTCAAGGCAGCACCTGATGAAACTTCCTTCAGTGAAGCCTTGCTGAAGAGGAATCAGGACCTTGCTCCCAATTCTGCTGAACAGGCCTCAATCCTTTCTCTGGTGACAAAAATAAACAATGTGATCGACAATTTGATTGTGGCTCCAGGGACATTTGAAGTGCAAATTGAAGAAGTCCGACAGGTAGGATCATATAAAAAGGGAACAATGACTACAGGACACAACGTAGCTGACCTGGTGGTAATACTAAAGATTCTGCCAACATTGGAAGCTGTTGCTGCCCTGGGGAACAAAGTCGTGGAAAGTTTAAGAGCACAGGATCCATCTGAAGTTTTGACCATGCTGACCAATGAAACTGGTTTTGAAATCAGTTCTTCTGATGCGACAGTGAAGATTCTCATTACGACAGTGCCACCCAATCTCCGAAAACTGGACCCGGAACTCCACTTGGATATCAAGGTGTTGCAGAGTACTTTAGCAGCCATCCGACATACCCGCTGGTTTGAGGAAAATGCTTCTCAGTCCACAGTTAAAGTTCTCATCAGACTGCTGAAGGACTTAAGGATTCGTTTTCCTGGCTTTGAGCCCCTCACACCCTGGATCCTTGACCTACTTGGGCACTATGCGGTGATGAATAACCCCACCAGACAGCCTTTGGCCCTAAATGTGGCATACAGGCGTTGCTTGCAGATTCTGGCTGCAGGACTGTTTCTTCCAGGATCAGTGGGTATCACTGACCCCTGTGAAAATGGCAACTTCAGAGTACATACGGTCATGACCCTGGAACAGCAGGATATGGTCTGCTACACAGCTCAGACTCTGGTTCGAATCCTCTCACACGGTGGCTTTAGGAAGATCCTTGGCCAGGAGGGTGATGCCAGCTATCTTGCTTCTGAAATATCTACCTGGGATGGAGTGATAGTGACACCTTCAGAAAAGGCTTACGAGAAGCCACCTGAGAAGAAGGAAGGAGAGGAAGAGGAGGAGAATACAGAAGAACCACCTCAAGGAGAGGAAGAGGAAAGCATGGAAACTCAAGAGTGATCTTCCTTCCCTTCA